TAGATAGCTGTGGTAATACTCTGCTGTAGAGGTCTCCTTTGGCTCAGGCAGGGGGGGTGCCCCCTCCTGAAGCTACATAATGACAGCAGTGAGACATTTTGTGGGATACCATGTATACTTGTTGCCACTAGACCCAATTATATACTTTTAGGCCTGTTCCCATATGGTGTTTTTTCCTCAGGAGGATACCTCTCTTCTGTGATACTCTTGCCAGAGCTCTGGCAATGACCATGCAGTCCAGCCTTTTCTTTCCCTGATAAACACACCAATACCTATCTGAATGCTGCAGAATTCAGGCATAATATCCTCATCCTTGCTTTAGTCTCCTTAGCTTGGGTGACAGAGTTGAGTTGCAGCGGTGTTAGAGACCCCAGTTACAGCTGAAGGTAATTCTCTTGGCCCAGATGTTATAGCAGATGGGTATTAAATCGCCTTCCTATACTCCCCCTGTAATGGCTACAGGGTTGATAGGTGTGGGCTCACTGAAGCCAGCATGACCTAAGCAGGTCAGGAACTGATCCATCCCCAAAGCAGGAAAGGAGACGAGGAACAGTACAGAACTGTCTCATTTTTCAACAGTCTAAATACACACTCCCTGTTTTCTTGTAAAATCAGGATAATAATGTTCTGAGGGCTGCTAGCCCTCAGATTGCAATGATTTTTGCAAAATCATTGCAATTTGCAATGGTTATTGCAAAACTAGGATGGGTCTCTGAGCACCACTGCTAGGATGACACCTATAGTTATCCAGCCTTCATAGTAATGAGTCAGTCTTTCATGCTCTATTGCACACATGTTCTCCTGTCTGCTGTAGACATAAACATTTGTAATACTGCCCAAGTCATAAAATCACAGACTGCTTTTCTTTTTTTCTGCAAAATTCATATAGGGGAGCCATGGAGAAGAGGGAATGCATATGCATTAACAGTAGAGAGCAAGAGAGATCCCACTGTAACACACACTTGTTTTCCTGCTCCATTATACCCACAGCTCCAAGAAATACAGTCAAGCCCTTTGCCCATCCACAGTCAGTTTGTTCTCCTCTCCCCTCCTTCCTCAACAACACGACACACCCCCTTCCTCACATGGATACTAGTCACAACTGGGTTGAACAAATCAGGGCCTTCCAGTGATTTCACTTGGCAGTAGATCTAAAATTCAGTGTGTGGTCTCCTCTAGGGCCGCACAGGGAGACTGTTGGCTGTGAGGGTACCTGTGAGCACAGCATGCTGCCTGGCCCCTATGCCTTCCTGAGTACCAGCTGCCTCACAGACAGCCTGCAGAGGCTGTGCAAGCCTGACACAGTCAGGGGCACACTGACTGGCTGGGCGTGCCTAAGCACACAGGACCTTTGGGTACTGTAGGCTGCAGTCCAGCTCAGTCTGAGGCCATGCTTACAGATATACACTTTTTCTATGTGAGGTGAATCTGGTCTTGCTGGTAGAGTGGAAGCTGCCATTAGCAGGCAATACAGATACATGCTCTTTTTTCTCCACAGGGTCATTATTTCCCAGAGCTTTGTGAGAACTAAGTGGATCACGTGCCAGCTGTGCTCAACAGAGCCACCTCTGAAACACTCCTGCCCCTGCACAGAGAGCTCTGTGAGAATACTATCTGAATCAATCCAGCTACTAGGGCACAGATGGGCTCCTATCGTTTTACCTTGTACTCCCCTCTACTGCCTGCCTGTTCCTCAGTCCCACTCTGTGGGGAAAGCCATGTTTACATTTCACTAATTTTTCAGAAATCTTTCGTAGGAATTACTGTTTGCTTCAATGTGAAAAACACTATCAAGCTTCCTATTCTGTTCACATAACAGCTTACTCCATTCAGGGAGCAAGAAGCAGCCTTCCAAAGGCACAAACAGGAGTGAGATGTGCAAGTCTTTTTAAACATTAGAGGGAGTTGGTTTCTTTACGTTTAAATCTCCACTGACTACCCTAGGAGCTAGTATAGGGGTCAACTGGAGATAACAGAATGATAGCCTTTAACATGCAGGGTGCTGGACTATTTGATTCTCCTATTCCACAACGATTTGCACAGTGGGAATCTGAGAGTAGATATTTACTTACAGAGATGATATGTCCTTTCAAGCCATGTGCTGAGTCTGCGCACTCAATAACAGCACTTAGCTGTGGATAGCCCACCCCCGTCTTAATCCGAGTGGTACACACAGAACCTAGACAAGAGAATGAGAGGAAAAAAACATAACCCATTAGGCTGACAGAAAAGATACAGCTTGTTTTTTCTTGTGGAAAAAATGTGTTTCTATCTGTATTATTTTTCCCCTCAAGAAGTCTCTATTGCCAATGTTGGCTTCTCATGGATAAAAGGAACTTGAGTCTTGAAATGCTACCACATCACTTCGTGGGAGCTGTAATTGGGGTGACTAATATCCCCACTTTCTTCTCCAGGACCACAATTTCCAGTTTAGGTCTCATCAGTAATGCTTCCCGGTGAGGGAATTACTGCCTCATGAGAAAGCAAATCTGACTGAGGTGCCTAAAGGGAAGGGGAACAAAAGGACCGGAGTCACAACCTATGAGACTCAGCAGCAGCATTTAATACCTGAATATTTCTTCCAATAAATATTTCTATCTCTTTTCTACATATGTTTTTAAAAATAATTCTCAGGGAAAATCTGTGCTTTTATTTTCTTTTTTATGGAGATTTTCCACAAGGAAGAGAAACCTGTCTTTTGCCTAATACTTACAGCAGAAATATTTGGTTGATCGCAATAGTTGGGAATATAAGAAAATCAGCACACGCCATTTAAAAAGTGAGATAAGTAATCATCAGAAAGCTGTATAGTGTAATATTACAGGAGATATATTAATTAGATATGATTATTAAACTATTGTATTTATACACATACATGGTGCATCTATATATGTATATATAAAAATAAAGGTATATACATATATATAAAAAAAACACTTCAATTATAGTTCAACATGGTAACATGGCTATAGATCTTTTGGAATACCTTCTCTATTTTTCTACTCAGATTAAGAGTCAAAATGAGGACAGCTTTTTGGTAGTCCAGGCCTTATGATTTAGGATACAGACCATAAAGGTCGGCGTGATAACAAGAATTTCAAAACAGATTCTAAACCAAATGCAGTGAAATCTGGATCCCTTCACCCAGCTTATACCCAGGTATACTCGAGCTACCAGTAAAGTAAAAGTTTCCAAAGATCTTTAAAAGAACTGACAAGGTGAAAACACTGAGAAGTATTTCTGCAAAGTACGAAGAAAATTAGTTTTAAAATAATCTCCACAAGGTATGTACTTATATATGTAATGCTTTATAATAAATCATTGCCATTTTCCACAGGATGGACCACTATCTGGAAAAGAGCCTCAAGATCTGGTCTTCTGTGAGAAACATTTGTTACTTGTGGTTTTGGGTGGTCAACTTGTACAGATCTGTTCAGGAAGATCTCCAGAGAGGGCTACACAGCATTTACCCCTAACTATTTCCACTTTGAGGCTACAAACTATAATATTTCTTCTTTTATATCTGTACTTGCCTGTGACAATTGCACCACACCATCTCTGTTGTTTATTCTTCATGTATTTTGCAGAATTTATTGTAGTTTGCTGTCTTCCTGGGCACAACTGCAACCTTTATTACATCATTTGCTCTGCTAAAATTATCCATTCATGAACCACAACTATTTTGCACTGTAGAGTAAACAATCTGCCTGCACTGCACTGGCGGATCACAGCTATAATGTCAGTGGCACCTGCATTAGCCAGTTTAAAATCTAGCCCACGCATGGTGACCCCAGCTGCAGTCTATGAAGAAAATAGCAAGAGGAAGGAGCACAAGGGAGGGAAAGAAAAAAGGGAAGACAATATGGCAGTATATGCCAGACAACAATATTAGGGAAGAGAAGGTAGGAAAAGCACTGTAAGTTTAGGGTCCTCCCATTTATCCATGGGAATGTTACAGTGATAGGTAACATGTAAGTGCATTCATGTAGGTATTATAGCTCCTAGGCAATAGTAACAGGTAGAGGCAATGTTATCCATACTTCACACTTAATTAATGCCATTTCATCTTTGAAGATATTGACAAGATGGGCAACCTCAGAACACAAATCATAAAGCTATTTAGAAACCCATCTTTCCTTGATAGAAGTGGATACCTGAACACAGCATCCTTTGAGCTGGAATGACTCAGCCTCTTTTCAACAGGCTAGAAAAAGTGTTCCTAAACACAACACGTATTATCACTGATAATGTCAGCTACTCAGGCAACTCAGTGCTTCCAATAATAGTCATCTTCACTGTCAGAAGATGGAATATGTAACACTTTGCAGTATGAAACACTAGCACCCTGCCCATTTATTTCTTAATTATATTATGTGCAAGGGCACTGTTACTTTATTGACCTGAGCTGGTCTAGGCATCCTAATGGGCAAGCAAACAGCATTATAAACCGGTTCCATCTGGACAACTCCCCCACCAACGTTACCATGTCACCCTTATTTGACTGGATTTGACTTACCTGGTCCGATACCCACTTTAATAATATCTGCTCCGGAAAGAATAAGTTCTTCTACCATCTCTCCTGTCACCACATTGCCTGCCTAGACAGAAGGAACAATATCACATATATGGGAGATTTCAAGACTACTGCAGTAAAGACTAATGATGATAATGTACAGTTTTATCCAGAGCTTTTATGAGTTGAACTATACAGAGTCAGGAAGAATATAGTTCACCATATTGTTCATTGTGCATGCCACAGGGATTAAACAAATCATACAGATACATTCTCCAGTCAAATGAATTTCATGATTGGTCCAGTAAACCCCAATCCCTAAGATTCCATCAGGATATCTGCTTTGTCTTCCATCCCCCTAATCCTCACCCAGCGGTTCTCAACCACATCATCCCTAACCATTAAGGGCTATACAGTCAAACCTCTCCCCTACATATAGTGCAACTCCTCCACCTCTCCTGCCCTGCCTATCCCTCCTGAACAGCCTATAGCCCTCCATCCCATTTGCCTACCTCACTTTGTGGGAAGATATTCAGATCTTGTCTAAAACCCTGGCAAATCTCTTTTTCCTTTAGGATTTAGTATTTTGAGTACTGAAAGAGTAAGGAAGGTTCTATTTTTGCCATTTTGTACTTTGGTGCCAAAATTGGTATGTACATTCAGACTATGTAAATAAGGGCATATATACCATATACATTCATTTGGTTGTGGTGATGCCGGAGGTGAAAGAAAGGGGTTTGTTTCCCTCTGCATGATCTTTGCAGACATGTAGAGAGCACGCTGTTTATGGTGAGGTCTTCTTCTTGGAAAGAAGTCTTGAATTGTTTTGTGTTCTTTACCATACTTTTCCTTGCACTTCCATAGCTCTTTCCTTTGGCCTTCATTCTTGATACCTTTCTTGAAAGTGATGGCAGCCCTCTCAGCCTTTGTCTTGCTCCTTTGAGTCGTTGTCTTCTTCTGTAGGCCCTCCATGCCCTTAATCAACTGCTTAGTCTTTGTTTGCCTTCATTCCAGGCAGAATTTATCTTTCTTGAACCTGAGGAATGAGAACTGTCCATAGTGGTACAGGTGAGTTCTCACCAGGGCTTTGCACAATGCTTGCCTTTCCTACGGAAATATCTTGCCTGATGCACAAGGCGGCATTTGCCTGTATCACATTCGTGACTCATAGTCACCCTGTGATCTACTCATGTCTCCAGGAACATTTGCCTACTCCGATGTTTCCAAACTGGAGCAGAAACTCATGGCGCTCCACCTGACATTGTGTTACCTATTTCTACTCTGCAGTTCTTCACGCACGCTTTAGTGATGTAGGGGCTATCTCTTCTGTCAGAGCGTCAGCTGGTACGGAATATGGGGGCTGTAGAAATATACCATGAGATACAGCTTTTTCTGGCTCATGGATGCCATGAAATCCAGAATATGATGTGGGCATTTCCTTAATATAAGGAAACCTACATTTCTTGAAGCATGGTTTTCTGCAATCTAAATTCAAAAGACCTGACCATGAACTTCACCGTTTCATACATTTGATGGCATCAAAGCGTGAAGGGTGGAGCCTGAGCGATGTGTTAATGAGGATTTCACCCATCAGTGGCCTGCTGGAGTCCAGCTCCATGCAGCAGGACCAGGAAATCCAGCCTGCCACCGGCCGGGTGAGCAATGGATGCACTGTGTGGGTGGGCTCTCAACAGGAAGCTGATGGTATCAGGCTAGTCACTTTAGAAATGGATGTCTCCTCCTAGGAAAGGAAATAACCACAGCTGCCATTAACTGAGCTTCTGTTTTGGAAGTTTAATTGGAGAAAGTGCCAAATCAGCTGATGTGGAACTGAAAAAGCTACACGAGACAAAACACTGGTGGGTCAGTGTGATGCAGTTAGTGGCACTGCTGTCTGTGGGGATAAGCTTTACCCTCCAGGAACGTGAATACAGGTCGCTGAGTTTTTAAATTAATTCTGCAGGCATTTAGTGAAGAGGAAGGTTGTTGCTGATCATGCTGATGTGGGTAAGTAGTTGGCTGGCCAGGTGGCCATCCAACACTAAAAGGCAACCACCTCTCTTTAAGAGTCCCTATGTGCCTCTAAGATAGCTGCAAAGAAGGACTGAAGATTTTTGCTTTTTATATGTCCATCTGAAACCACCTGAGAATGTCGGTATGACAAAATTACTGATGACGTTATTCAGATACAAAGGAGCTTTTTTTTTTTGATTAATAAAAGAAACGACGAAAAACAGTCTTCTAGCACACATATGGTAGTTAGTTTGCAAAACTGGTGCAATGAGTGCAGAAAGCTGCCAGACCATGTCTATTCAGTTAAAGAATCTCAACATTTTGATGCAAGCTCAGTGTGATGAGACAGGCCCTTGCATGTGTCCAAAGGTGGATCTGGTGGATCAGCAGGCAGAGTGAGGCTAGAGATGAATTCCCTTACCAGGAGTGCCTCCTGTCCAGAGGGCTTTTAAGAAAAAGACAGTCTTTAAGGAGCAAGGATTTCAAACAACTTGGGATTTATGAGCTAAAACCTATGCTTTGAGTTATGCTTGTAAACAAACTGGTAACCAGTATGTTTTAAGACCACACTTTCCTCTCAGCAAAGGGCTGCACAAGGCAAATGAATGCTGACATAGCACATCCTGACACAATTTGCTATAGCTGTACCAATTGCATTCCCGTACTGGGGGGAACATAGTATGGGAATGCAATCCCATCAATTGGGCCCCACAATTTCAAGAGGATGTTAAGGTACTTGAATGTGTCCAGAGGAGGGCAACAAAACTGGTGACAGGGCTGGAAGGCACGTCCTATGAGGAGC